AATGAGAAAGAGCGTTGGGTGGGCCGTGGAAGTCGCGAATTCAGAGCCGCCGCGCCCCCAGCCTGCGGGCCGATCCGTCTAGGGCAGCGTCGGTCGCCCGCGAGGCTCGCGCTCTTGGGACGGGTCTCCGAGGGGCAGGGGTGGGTGCTGGAGTGCAGCGAGGGGCTGTCCCGCACTACACAGTCGAGAAGGGAGAGCCTGTTCCCCCACACCTTCCCCACCCATCACACGGGTTTCTGAACACCCCTGGGGGAAAGTGGGGGGACCTAAGGAGGTGCAAACTGCAGCACACTCCACCGTCTTTCCATTGCAGTCCAAACTCGGGGGCACCAGGATTCTCCCCCATTTCCCTGTCCCCCCCACTGGCCTCACGCAGTTTGCGGGATGGAGGACCTTAGAATTATCTCCCTCTACCTAGTAGCGTCCATTGGGCCACCGCGCTAGGGCCGCAGTGTCCCGCAGAAAATCGCCATAACCCTCCCCACGCCCGCAGGCCCTTGCGGTGTGCCCTCCAGGCCCTGCACAGCCAGGGGGCGTCTGATTTAGCCACTGTCCCACCTGCGCGCGAGAACATTGTTTGGCAGTCAGCCCGAGCGAAGCAACCTCCTCAGATCTTGCCTACCCCCCATTCCCCTTCGCGCAAGGTCACTTACCGAAGGGCCAACCACCGGGGAAAGCCGTTTGGACCTAGCAGGCGGGAGCCTCGGGCACCTCTGAGGCCTGCACGGGCGCAGGGGCGCGCGCACCGCCGGGAAACCAGAGCTCCCCGCGCAGGACTCTACCCAGGCGGCCCTCGAGCCTCGCACCGCGTGCGCTGCGCACCCTCGCACTGCGGCCCCGCGGGCCTGCGCCCTGGCTGGCGCTCGCCCCGCGTAAGCGCGTTCTCCCCACTGGCTTCAAATTTATCGCTGATCGATTTCTCTCCTTAAACGTCAGTAAAGAGTCACTTCCTCCATTTTGACCTTGTGTTTTCCCAATGGGGGTTGGGGATGGGTAGAGGGGTGGTGTCGGGATTAAAATCTTGGAGCTGTACTCTGAGCAAACCAGCCACAAACCGGCGTCTTCATTCTAGGGGCCAGTCGGAAACTCGAGGGAAGGACGCGCTCTGAGGCGCTGCGACTGACCGCTTTTCTCGTCTCGGTTCCCTAGGGGTTGCGTAGACCCGTGCGAGGGAGAAAGCGAGGGCGAGCGCCTGCCGAGTGCGCGAGTGTCCGCGGACTGCCGACCTCCCCGCGTGCCCCTGCGTGTGCCGCTCTGTGTGCCCACCCGCGTGTTTCGCCACCACCCCCTTAGGCCGCCAGAGCGCCGCGGCTGCAAAACTCAAGCCTGCGGGCTCTGTAGGGGGAAACGGTCCCGCAGAAGGTTTAAATTATTTCGCTCCGCGGGAGACCGGGCCTCGGCCGCGCTCGGCTGTGGATTTGGGCGGGAAAGGCCCAAAGTGGAGCCTGAGAGCCGGGTGGAGCCGGGGTTGCCGTACGAGCGCCGTTGGCGCCGCCACGTGCCTGAAATACACTTCCAAGGCCGCCGCAGCCCGAGCAGCTGTTCCGGAGAAAGTGTCCTCTGTGGCCCGCTGGGGCAGGCCCAAGGGCCACGCTCCTCTAGGACCGGGTTGGAGACCCTCCCCAGCCCACAGCAGCCGAGGGCTGGCGGCGTCTCCAAAAGACGCGGAGTGCTGGCCAGGATGTAATAATGAAGGCACCTCGCAGGCCCTTCTCCAAGGCCCTGAGGGCCTCAGGGAGTTTTCGGGACCGCCTGGCTCGGTGGAAAATTTTGAAATACATACTGTGTGTCCTCTGATGTGTGAGTGTCTACAGTGCGCGGGCCCGGCTGGTCCCCCGCTGCCGCAGGTTGGCGCCCCAGGCTGCGGGCGCTCGGCGCCAACTAAAGCCAGCTCTGTCCGGACGCGGAAAGAAAAACGGGCTGCGGAAAGGCGAAGGCCACGTCTTTGAATAAAAGCGAAACATTAAATCTGCGCCGTGGGTTGTCTGAGGTTCCCGGGTTTTGACGCGTGGACAGGGAGGACAGGAGACGATGGTACCGGTCAAAGAGAGGGGATGCGGGGAATGACAAATACCGTTGCGCTAAGCGGCCGTCCCGTGTGCGCGCGCGAGCGAGCGCATAATCCTACCCCCGCCCCGTGGCGATTTTGTATTTGTCTTAGTTTTGTTTTGTTTTTGTTTTCTGTTCCTGACTCTCATCGGCCTAGGCGGGAGATCCACGCCGCAGGTCCAACCCCCCCCCCCCCC